AGCACTCTAGTTATCACAGCATGGCAGTAGGCAAACACCTCCCCCTCCTCAAGTGGTAATAAGTTCTGTTTGGAACTTTCATACTGTTTTAATTATTTTAAAATTCACCCCAGATTGCCATAACCAACAACTCATTCCACTGTGCTATGAGATACAAAAATGAATCCTAATTTCTCCAAGTCTTTCTGTTCGTATAACCATTCCACCTCCCTCTTTGCCCTTCCTAGTCTCCAGCAGCAATTGTTCACCTTCTCTTCCACCATGAGATAGACTTTTTGCTTGTTTGTGTTTTGTTTGGGGAGGGGTTACTTTGGCCGGTATTTTTTGGCTTCTGCTGTTGTTTGTATTGTTTTGAAAAAGGTCTCCTTCTATAGCCCAGGTTGTTCTGGCACTCGCTGCATAACCTAAGCTGGTCTAAATGCATGCACACCTATCTCAGCTTCCCAGGTTCTTAGACAACCAAGGCAGGAGCCTCATGAGCTATGCCCGACTGTGCTCTACTTTTAAATCACAACCCAGGAGTTAGAGCAAGGGCCACTGTTATTCCTACACTGTAATTTGACAACACATGCAACTTAAGATTCTCTCATGAACAGACAATTTTTAGTTTTTTTTATACGGGTCAAGTTTTTTATTATTGACATGAGAATAATCTCACCCCTACACACACACACACACACACACACACACACAAAATCCCCTCCCCTTAGATGGTAAAGAGTTAATTCACAGAGCAAGGCATGAAAGAGACTCAAGAGTGTTAAGGTCAGTGGTACCTGCTTTACTAAAAAGGGGACTGGGGCAGGCCAGAAGGTAGTAGAAAGCAGGCTGAGGGCCAACAGAATGGTGAAAAAAAGAGACCTCAGGAAGGATGCTGGTGGCTGATGGGTACTCGCTAAGTCTTCCTTGAACTCATCCCTATGGTCAAGGACAGGGAGTACCTGGACAGATACATCTTATGAGAGGGGGATGGATTTGGGCTTATGGTTGAAGGGACATGGCCAATTATGATGAGGAAATCCAGGTGGCCATACCGGCTTAATAGGCAACACGTCACATATTGCCTGGTTAGGAAGCAGAGAGCTAGACGTGGAGGTGAGCTTACTGACCCCCGGCCCCTTGTAGTCTGTGTCTGCCAGTGAGGCCTCACCTCCTAATTTTTGGCAGCTTCCCAAAACAGAACACTAGCTGGGGCCTAAACATTCAAACATGTGAGTCTGTAAGAACCATTTCACATTCAAACTATAGTAAACAGTTTTTGTTCACAGAACCACTGTGGAAAGTCAGCAGTGGAGGTGCCTGTCTGGAAAAGGATTTCCCCTCTTCATCCTGTTGACCATGAGAGGAGTCCCTGATTCCCACTAAGCGAGGGATTTTCACAGATGGATTTTAGGCCTTTTTCTTGCCTGCAGGGTCAAACACTCCTAGCTAGGATTTTTCTAGCTCTCCGGTGAGCTGCCCAGCTCAGTCAACTCCTCCATCTTGCTTTCAGTGATGAGACAGTTCATGGCATACATACACAAGCATGCTGTCTCTTACAGTTTATCCCAGCAAAATATAGTACATCTAAACTCTGTTCCTTAAGAACCACAGGTTTCATAAAAGAATGTATCACTGTGACTGAACATGCACATTCTTTATGTCTGGCATTTGAATATTTTTATATGCTGACTTTATTTGCACAAAGAAAACGCAGAGATCTCTGTATGAAACCAAAAATAAATTAGATTTAGTTTACATGTTTTGGTTGGAGAGTGGTGGTTCATCTCAACTGTCAGCTTAATGAGGTCTAGAGTCACCTGGGAGATGGAGTGCTGGGCATATCGGTGGGGGAAAATTCTCACTGGGTTAATTGATGGGAGAGGGCCTGCTCACTGTCGGTAGCACCAAACTTTGGATTCCACAAAAGCAGAGGCAGTGAGCTGAGCACAGGCATTTATCACACTCTACCTCTTGACTGCCGATGCAAGGTAGATACCTCACTCAAGTTCCTGCTGCTTCCGGTCATGATGGGCTACGACCTGGAATTGGGTGCCCAAAGAAATCCCTTCTCCGCTAAGCTGCTTTCTTAGGGTGTTTTGTCATAGTAATAGAAAAGGAAATCAGGACTTGAAGGATACACTCTTAAACTAACCTTCTCCTCTTGATGTCTAAGGAGCAGAAGACAGCAGATTTAGGATTGATGGCATGCTAAATATTTTTGTTGCTGAGGAGTTTCTCTCTAAATATCACTCTCCAATTTTGGTGTTCTTTTTACCATTTCTTAAAATTATATCAAAGATCTTAGCTAGATAACTGCTAATTACCCTAAATCACTCAGAAAGTACCACTGACAATTTGGGACTAAAGCCCAACCTGCTCCCTCAACTCAATAGACATTCGTCCCTGCCCTTTATGTTGCCATGGTGATCAGTTTACTGAAAGAATTAGATTGAAAAATGATATTTGACTACTTTCCTGTAGAAGTTACTTAGAATTTTTAAAGTATTACATGAAAAGAATTGTCCTAATATCTAACACAACTCTACATAATTACATTGCCTTCAATGTATTCTCTTAGGACATTATACATACTGGCTTATATTTACAAAATAAAACAATAAAAGAAGTATCTCAGAATCACAAAGGAGAGGAGTATCTTTTATTTTTATCAAAAAATATTTTACCCAACAACTTATTAGTAAGACTTGTACCTACTATTTCTATTTTGCCAACTTTGCCTTTTGCCTTTGACAATGAACATTAATATTGGCTAATACTATCCATTATGAATATGATCAGAGTATCAGGTTGGGTAAAGCTCAGTTTCAGAGGATATATTTTGCATATATGTAACCTAAATTAAAACCCTAGGGCCATACACACATACACAAATTATAATAGTATGGTTAATCAAGACGATTCTGATATCCATTTAGATCTTATTATACTTACTATTTTTGATAGCTTAGTAGACCACTTATTTAAACTTAAAATATCAAATTCTATATTTGATTACTAATGAAAATATGTCTAAAATAAAGATAGCTTTTGCAATACATTTTAAGCAAAATAAATCATACTTCTACATAATACGAACATTTCAATGGCATATGCTATTTTTTTGTTTGTTTACTTTTTGAGAGAGTGTTCCTCTGTGTAACAGTCATAGCTGTCCTGGGAACTAGCTCTTGTAGACCAGGCTGGTCTCAAACTCACAGAGATCCACCTGCCTCAGCTTCCTACGTGCTGGGATTAAGGCATGTGCCACCACCACCCAACTGGCGTAGCCTATCTTTAATATCATTTTTGGAAATAGCGTGTGATTCATCTCTGTGTGCTCCTCAGCAAGACAGTGACCAAGAAGAACATTTTAGAGGTGAGGAATGTAGGTCCTAAAGCAGTGGATGGTCAACTTTGCACTGAACCCTGATGATGATGGTCTAGGGTTCTAAAAAGTGGTGCCCCGGGTTCTTTTCTCTGGTTTGCTACTGCCAGTCCCTAAAGGAAAGCTAGATGGAGGAATTAGCTATGACTTGTCCTAGTCTGGCTAACAGCACCACGATTTTGCTCCTCAGAAGAGAAGGAGGGATGTGGATAGAAACATGGGCAATTGGCAAGTTTACCAGAGAGATGAAGTCATTAGCTGTCCATAGGCTCATTAAACTCTAATGGTGGCCATAATCATCACTGTGATTTGGAAGCACTGCCTTCGCCCCCATGAAAGGCTTTTTGTTTTGCAGTCTCCTTTCCATTCAGCTTCCTGAAATGCTATGCCAATTGATGTTTGCATGTTTCCAAGATGGCAACGAGCCTTCTAATTGCTTCTCCCACTACACTGTGTGCTGGCAGGAACGCACCCCACTTTCAGATCACTTGATACCTCCTGTCACCTTGGGGCTCGCCAGCACACATTCAGAGGCAATGGAATGCCAATTACTCTCCTTCCTGGCATTCCATGAAAACATGTTGCAACTCCTTTAAGGAGAGAGAGATTTGGGAGTTTGATTTCTTTAATAATTTCCACAAGTTTAGAGAGCGTTTAGCCTGTGGGGGGCACTGGTTACATCCCAGTAACATCACCCACACCACTACTAAAATCTGTTCTATTAATCATGATATCCACAAACATCAATAATAGTAATACTGATAATGATCAAGTTTTCAGCCTATCGGAGTTGAGAGACAAACGGATGATTCAATGAGAGCACTACAGCTAACCAGTAAATTTCATGCTTGCTATGCATCAGCAATAGTTCAAGTGTTCTCAATACACTGGCTTGATTGTGTTCTTCCACAGCTTGCCAGAAAGTCTACTGTTCTTCTCTGAGTTTGTAGACAAGAAACCTGAAGCCCATAGTTATGTAACTAGATAATGGCAGGACCACCATTTGGTATTAAAATAACACAAATTAAATTCAGGTTGGTGTCAAAGCCTAGACTTTTTAGTTGTTACAGATATAGCCAAACACTGTCTTGGAAAGGGGTAGCTTCTAAGAATTACTCTCACCAGGAAAACAACAGGCAGTGATGAACAGTGAGTTAGATGCATGAAACCTTCTCTTATAAAGGACTTCATTCCACTTTATCAACCAGCATCTTCTATTAAAGCCTTTAGCCCATCCTATTCCATCAACCGGCATCCTTGGGAGAAGCCCAACTGGGGCATTTTATCCCTTTACAAAGGAATACATTTTCCTGGCTTGCTGCTCCACACAATTCTAATGCATCTCTCCTTAACTGTGACTTGTGATGCCTGCTCACATTCCAAGGCCAGAGTGTCCTACCACCAAAAGAATCCTTTTTCACAAAACCCGGATATGTAGGCAGCCAACAGACAGCAACTAAGAAGAAACCACACATTCAGTGACTCACGTTTTCATCTCTATCTGGGACCATAATTTTACCCTGAAATAAAGGCGTGTTGAACGTCATGACTCAGAAAACCATCCACAGGCAAAGCACCACACTTGTACACAATGCTTGAATTCACAGGTAGCGAAAATCATAATGTGACTTACTTTGAAATTCATCATTTATCACTGGAAACTATGTAGGCTCCATAGTCATCAGAATGAGTTGTGGAGTTTAGAGGAAGTGGCTTGTCAACCTAGAACAAAAACAACACCCAGCAGTTCAAATTCAGCATGAAAAGATCAAGAGAATTGAAAGTTCTCTAGTCTGCACCATAAATGTTAGCTAAATGTCTAGCTTGAGAGTCTAGGAATGAAGGTAGCTACTAATATGGAGGAATGCCAGGCAGCAGAACCGCCATGTTTGTAACTGATTTTGGAGGAATCAGCTAAAATGAAGAGAGCAAAGGCTACAAATGATTCCTGGAAATGAACAATGTAACTCAACCCAGGAGGGAGGAGCGTGCTGCCACCCACCTGGGGAGACAGGTTAATCAGAAGATCAATTTCACGCTTATCTTAGTCATTAGGTAGCCATTGATACCACCTGCTCACTTGAAACGTACAAATCCAAGCCAGCCATCAGCAAGCAGATACCACGCTACCAAACCCCTCCTTTCTGCAGAGTGGCAGGAGGACCAGGGCCCAACTCTGACCCCCAGAATCTGGGCATCTGCTCCTCTGGCACACACAGGTGTGAGGATGAATCAGAAATTCAGCCTCCATGGGCAGACAGACATGCCGGAAGACAGGAGCTATATAAAGTGAAAGTCAACTGGAACTTCAGAAATATTTAATGCATTTAGTGACGTTTCTCTCCTCTGAACTAATTCTATCCCTCAGATCCAAAGTGGTGATTCTCTAAAGACATGTAGATAAGATGCAGATTTCACTTGTTAATGCTACTCAATTTGAGAACCTCTGACTCTTTTAGGTGTTGACTACTCTTTCCCAAAGAATTGGGGAAGGCTCACTTGTCTGGGCAAGTTGTCAGCTGCAAATGGCCAAGATTCAAAATTACTACATGGAATTCCCAAAGGAAAGCCAGTACCTCCTCACCAGTAGAAGAAGAGGTGAGGAGGTACTAGCATATTGGTAGTTGAACTTTTCCTGCAGTAGCTACTACGTGTTTTTTTTTTTTTTTTTCAGCTTTTTCTTAACTCACGACTTTCATGGGAAGTGTAGGTACTAAGGGGAGGTCATCAAAGTGCCTTGCCTACTAAGGGGAGATCATCAAAGTACCTCACCTATGCAGCAAAGAACTACTCATGGAAGGCTCTCCCTTTTTGTATCTTGAGACAAAGTCTCCTTATGTGTCAAGCTGGCCATAAACATTTGATTCTCACTGCCTCTGATGCTAAAATGTTGAGATAAAAGATGTGCACCATCATAACCGACTCTCACTTTCATCCTCTCCTTCCTTCCTGTTCTTCCTATAAAGGGAATGCATGACATCTTGACGCCATGCACCGCTAGTAACTAGGGCCAGTTGAGGAGTCAGCAGTTAACTGGTCTCAAGGAACATCTTTCTGTCGGCTTTGCAGGCTCTTATTCTAGCCTGAATTACCTTGTCAGTGGTAACTTGCTAACCCCAGAAGGAAAAGGCAAAGTAAGTTGTTTACCTTGCTTAAAGCTCTGGGATGGCAGCCGGCTAGTTAATTACGGCTCTCCTGCTCCTTCCTGTCTCTGGGAGCCAAAGTATCATGTGTAGCTTCTGAATACTTAAAATTCATTCCTAATTAAGCAATGTGTAGATGGATGGATTTTCTATCAAGCGAGTCTCAAACCTGTAGCAGAAAATGAAGCAGCATTTCTGGCCCGAGACAGAAATGAGGTTAATCAAGATGCTGCCTGAGAATCTACTTTCTAATAAAAAGACTTCCCTAGCAGTTTTCTAAAGTGCAAGATTCCAAGATGGGCTAACCTTTTGCATATTTTATTTTAATATCTGTGGGGCTGAGGAATTAATCCAGGCCCTCACACTTGCTAAGCAGATTTTCTACCAGTCAGTTATAGTTCCAGCTCCTCATTTATATAATTTGAGGTTGTTTATTGAATTTAACCATGATGGTAAACTTAAACATCTCTTATTCTTTGTTTCATGTGAAATGAATTGAGAAGAAACAAGAAAGTAAAATTTTGGAGACCAGAATAATTTGAGATGTCAATATACACATGATAAGTCTGACATGAGTTGGAAAAAATAAATAAGCACATTCTGGGTTCCAACACAAGACAGACAGGGAAAGTGAGGGCTGGAGAGAAGACTCAGTGGTTAAGAGCACTGACTGCTCTCCCAGAGATCCTGAGTTCAGTTCTCAGCAAACACGTGGGCGGCTTATAATCCAACTCTAATGAGATCTAGTGTCATCTTCTGGCCTGTAGGGACACATGCAAGCAGAACATAATAAATGTACATCTTTAAAACAAAAATAAAGAAAGGGTGGGTGAGTGAGGTTAAAGGGTTTGACCTTCAAATGGCGAGTAAACGGGGATTGGGGATGTAGGTCAGTTTGTAGAGTGCTTGAGTAGCATGCACAAGGCACAGTTTAATCCTTTTCTTCTGCTCTGCAGAAAGTGGAGCTTATTGCTGCCTGTCTATAATCTTGACACTTGGAAGGTGGAATCAATTGTATGGCAAGTTCAAGGTCATAAACTGAGTTACAGAGTGAGTTCAATGGTAGCTCCGTGCACTACGCACTACATGCCTGTCCATATAACAATAATTAATAAAATGAAATAAAATGAACTATCCTCAAGAAAATTGTTCTTTAGGATTTCCCCCCAAATTCTTACTTTTTCAATGAAGTTGGCCACAATCTCCCCAATTCAGCAATTGCCCTGCCTCAGCCTCCCAAACTGATGATATTACAGGTACTACTTTCTTCATATTTTGAAATTAGTTCCTCTTAAACAATTTCCAAGCTCCAAACAATAGGTAACATTTTAATACATTAAGGCTACTGGAGATAACTACTTGATTCATGTAGTGGTAATATTTGTGTTTACCAATACAGAACGAAGACTCTTAAAAGCCTAGTAAGAAATAGTGTTCTTTAAACTATAATGTAGGGAGGTTTTCAGGAAGAATGAAGAAACAGTAAGTTCCCAACACTATGAAAGCAATATTTTTCATCTGCCAAATGGAAATGCAAATGAGCAAAATGATGGGTGAACGCAGAGAAGAGCGCAAATCACAAAAGATGCTCAGGAATTACAGCAGTATCCATTTAGAAGGCAAAGTCTCTGGTGTTCTTTCTCCTGGAGGAGAGGCACGGGAAAAGATGGTGGGTTTTGTTGTAGCTTTTTGAAACAGGGTTTCTCTGTGTAGCCCCGGCTGTCCTGGAACTCACTACGTAGACCAGGCTGACCTCGAATTCAGGGACCTACCTGCCTCTGTCTTCTGAGCACTGGGTTTAAAGGTGTGTGCCGTGACCACCTGGCAGGAAAAGCTTTCTTTTCTTTTTTTTTTTTTCCGAGACAGGGTTTCTCTGTGGTTTTGGAGCCTGTCCTGGAACTAGCTCTGTAGACCAGGCTGGTCTCGAACTCACAGAGATCCGCCTGCCTCTGCCTCCCGAGTGCTGGGATTAAAGGCGTGCGCCACCACCGCCCGGCTTCAGGAAAAGCTTTCTAACTAAATGGGGAAGCCTTCAGGCTGCCTTATTTCCAAATAAAGACATTTTTACCTTCCAAAGTTTTAAGCAAACTCCATTGTCTTAAATGTGTACATCTTGTTCTCTTGCTCTCCTGCCTAGACTGTGGTGATGACATGTCTGTACCTTCCCTTGAGGAGCAGGGCCAATTCCACTCTATCATCTTGTATGACACAGCCTGAGGAGGCTTTTGCTATCTCCACTAACGTCATTTCTCCAATTAAAACAGCTCTTAGAGTATTCTGAGCTGATTGGCGTATTCAGAGAAAGAAGTTTGCCCTCTTAATTGAGGGCTTGGCTCTAGGATGGGGACATTAACCAGTAGGCAATCTGTTGGGAACAGGGATGACGATGTTTGAGCACAGAGTGAATGGGCCAGAAATCCAATTTTGGCCCATGAAATGTCTGTAGTTTTAATTAGAGTGAGGATAGAAAATAAATTTAATCAACAATTAATTCAACCAATCATGTCAGCAATACTAAAAATATACTGTTATTCTGAAGAACAATATGTCATATCAATAGTATAGCATAACTATATGATAAAAATGAGGCAATGAATAGTAATTAGACTATTTAGAAAACTATTAATTAGGTGTTTAAGATGCAGAAGTTAAGAAGTTTGTGAAGGTCAGTGTTCTCATGGCAGGGGGACAATAGTAACATTAAAAAAAAACCAGAGACTGTGCATGAGGAGAGATTCAGTCTGGGGGAACTTTTCCTGGTATGTTTAAACTGTGTCTAAGGTTGGGAAGATTGGCCGTGGGCTACAGTGGTCTGGAGAAGGAGGTGATTAATGAGAACCTACATGAGATAGTAGTAGTGGGAAATAAAATACCCAAGAAGTATTTCGGAGAAAGTCAGTAGGAGTTGGCCACTGCTGAGAAGAGCAGTAAAAGGAGAAGGAGTAGACATAGATAAATTAGAATCATGGGCCCTACAGTAGAAGCTGGGAGGCTACCAGCAAAACTGCAGATGTTGGAAGGAAAGAACCAGTGTAGAGAGGTGATAATGAACGTAGGTGTGATCCTTTCTGTTTACTGTGTCAGAAAGTCTCATGGGACAGCAGCAACAGCCACAACCACAAGGTTATAAATTAGGAATTGAAGAAGGATGAAAGATTTCAGCGTCTTTCTAATGGATGAGGTGGTTAAAGCTGAGAAGGTCTAAAACCACCAGAGCTAAAGAAGAGAGTAAGCCTTCACATAAGTGGGGATTCTGGGAAAGAAGGCAGCCCAGTTTGAGGGGAGGCGAGCGGGGCTGGTGGCAGACTCTTTTCACTACTGTAAGCCCTTAGCAGGATTTACTTAAATTTAATTAAATTTACTTGATTTTCATGATGGCCCTTAGGAAATCAATTTTGTTGTAAACTCTACTTCATGAATTAGAATCTGGAAGGGCAGAAAGTTTGCAAAGGCCACATCTTATGCCTGGCAGAAGCAAACTTCAAGTTTTATTCTACTTGAGAGTCCCTGTCCTTGACAACTGTGCACATGGAGCAAGCAGGGAACTGGTTGTTCACTTTTTACAGCTCTGACCATTGA